GGTGAGGGCAGGCTTCCAGGCTCTTGCTGCTGCAGTTTGACCTCAGGCACGGGAAAGGCCATCTGCAGCTTGGAGGGGCCGGGGGTGGGTGGGGGGAGTGGAGTCAGGGCTCTGTTCATCTGTGTGTCCAGGTTGAGCCGCGCTTTGCACCTAACTCCAGGTTCCGGGCTAGGGGAGGAGAGGAGGCAGGTTTAGGGGCAGCCCACGGGGAGCTGTGGCCCCTCTGCCACACCCAGATTCCAGGAAAAAGAAAGAAGAGAGACCCCTCTCAATAGGGGTCCAGCCCTGTTCTCTAAGGGGAAAGTAGTTGGATGCTCCTCTCCTGAACTGTGCTTCGGTACCCGCCTGTCACTCAAAGTGCCGTTGCCTGGACAACGCACTTCCAGGCCGGCTGGCCCACCCCACCCGTCAGTGCTCTCAGCGGGAGGTGCTGGCCCCGCTTTCACCAGCCAAGCAGGGTGGAGGTGGGGGCTGGGTTTTCAGCCAGAGCAGCTGGGGCTGGGCCACCCTCCGCCACTGGAGTAGCTGTCCCAAAGAGAGCACCCCCGCCCCCCCGGGGCTGTGAGACACTCAGACCACCCTGAGACTTTCAGGAGCATCTGGACCGGCTCTAAGTTTCCATGAAGGAGGCGCTAGGCCAGTCCTCTCCTGGGAGTGGGCCCCTCTCACTCAGGAGACTCGGGGGACATTTTCAGCCGGACACAGACTTCCTTGCAGACTAGCGCAAAGGCCGTGCGTCACATCATCCCCTGTCCCCATCAGGGATACTCCACAGGCTCTCTCTGCCATTTCTCTTCCTCCAGAAAAGACTGGGCTTCTCTCATTGACCCGCAGGGAGAAGCAGACCCTACTGTCCATGAGCTCGGGGCAGTGGGGATGCAGAGAGCAATCACGGGTCCCCCGCCCCCTGCCTCAGTCCATGTGAGCATCTGATACTGCAGGATGGGGTTAAGATGGTTGGTGGGACACGCCCTTCGGGTAGGTCGGTAGCTTTGTCAGAGGTCAAGGCAATAGGGGCCAGGGGTGGGGAATTACCATGATGTCAGGCCCAGGAGCTCAGACCTTGGGCAGAGCGGATGAGAAGGTGGTGGTCGGGAGCTGCAATCTGACATATCGGTAGGAGACTAGAACTAGGAGGGACACCGGAGGTCAAGGTCACAAACCCTAAGGCCTCCAGGGGCCGGCCAGGGAACAAGGAGGCGAGAGGCAGCTGAGTGTCAGCAGTGGGTAGTGGTGGGGTGCTGTTGGACGCAAGTTCCAAGTCTGTAGGGTACCCTGTGCTGGAGAGAACCTCTGTGGTCATGGTCAGGGGTCAGTCTTCAGAGAAGTCCAGGGCTCAGCTGGGGACAGAAGCAGAGGTTTTCTCTACAACACTCTGCATACTGCACTAAGCCTGCGCTCTCTGGGGACCGGATCTAGAATCGGTAATAGTAATTAGTAACAATAGCAGCTACCATTTGGCATGCATTTATACGTATTAACGTATTTGTATTAATTACCAACAAATTACAGAATATAAATTATTCATTTATTGACTTATCTTCATGAATCACTCTGCCTCTCAACTCTATGGAGTAGACACAGTTACCGCCATCTCTCTTTTTCAGGTGGGGAAACTGAGGCATGGAGCGGTTAGGCAGTTTTCCAGCGTCACAGGCTGGATAACAGTAAAGCCAGGGCTCAGACCCGAAGGTTTGTGGTCTTTTTTTTTTTTTTTTTTTTAACATTTATTTAGTTTTGAAGGAGAGAGAGAGAGACAGACGGAGCGTGAGTAGGGGAGGGGCAGAGAGAGAGGGAGACACAGAATCCAGGCTCTGAGATGTCAGTACAGAGCCCGATGCGGGGCTCGAACTCACTAGCTGTGAGACCGTGACCTGAGCCGCAGTCTAACGCCCACCGACTGAGCCACCCCGGGGCCACCGGAAGGTTTGAGCTCTTAACCATCACAGCCTTGCCCCGGCATCCTGGTCACACTGCACGACCCAAACGGCTGCTGGGCTACTGTTTGCCTGAGACGACAGACGGTGGGCCAAATGGAGCTGCGTGCAGGCTAGGGGCCGAGACGGGCTTCTCTGCTTCCCTATCTTCCGGGGTGCCTGAAGGCCAGTGCGACCCTGCGGGTGGGACTTCCGGCAAGGGACTGAGCGCATCAGGTAGGGGGCTTTGCAAGAAGCTGTGAGTGCAGACAGAGAAGGGCCTAGGATGTCTGCTGGATCCTGCCTCTGCTGGTGTAGACAAATCCTGTGCACCTTTGCGGAAGGGTCTTATGCCCTTGAAATCAGGCCGCTGCCACTTTAATAAAATTCACGCCTGTGGTCTTTCAAGGTGTGTGTATCCCGTATCCTGCTGGTAGATTACCTCTAGCTGGTCGCTCACTTGAGGGCATTGTTTTGTGGCTGAATCACCTCGGCTCACTTAATCACCCTTCTTCCCAATCTCTTGGAGCACACTGGTTTTACCTTTTTTAATCTTGCCTTGTGAAAAGTGTTTTATTTATATCTCACATTTTATGCAGTTCTGTTTTTAATCTTTTACCACCTTTTTATTATTTTATTTTCCCCCTTTTAAATTTTAGCTTTTGCCACACTCGTATCCTTTTGGTTTCTGACATGGGGTTTTACATTTTTTACCTTGTCTAGCTGGAGCCGTTAATTATTTATGTTAATTTCTCGTCTTTCCTGATGGCTTTCCTTTTCATCTCGTTCCTTATTTTCATTTTTCTCATTATTATTTTCCTTTTAACCTTTGTGTTTTGTTCCCTTTCAACTCTCTCCTTTTCTATTTTCCTTCTCATCAGTGTCCCTTCAATTGCTCATCTGTCTTTAATCCCTTTGTTGTTCTTTTTTATTTGTTTCTTTTTAATCTTTTATATATACATATATATTTAATATAATTTTCCCCCATTCCTGATCAAATCTTTTGACTTCCTGGTCTCAGCAGTCTGATTTTTATATTTAAAAAATATTTCTTTTTTAACGTTTATTTATTTTTGGGACAGAGAGAGACAGAGCATGAACGGGGGAGGGGCAGAGAGAGAGGGAGACACAGAATCTGAAACAGGCTCCAGGCTCTGAGCGGTCAGCACAGAGCCTGACGCGGGGCTCGAACTCATGGACCGCGAGATCGTGGCCTGAGCCAAAGTCGAAGCTTAACCCACTGAGCCACCCAGGCGCCCCGATTTTTATATTTTTTTTAGTTAACAACAATTTAATCAATAAAGGCAGGCAGGATGTACTGTGTTGGGGAAGATGCCTGGGGCAGGGGGGTTCATCCCCAAACCTGCGGGGCAGGTGTCTCCCCAGCCCTCTCATCCTGGATCTGGCTCTGTCGGCAGTAGGTCCAGAACCAAGGTTAGGACTCCATCACCTTTAACATGGATCCTGTCAATGGTCATGACCCTGAAGGCTGGAGGTGAGACCCATAGGCTATAGTTGCTCTCTAGAAGCTGCTGGTGTCCCCGTGTCTGCTGCTCACTGGGAGAATGGGGCTGAACTCCTATGTCCCTTCCTGCCTGGGGGGGTCCACCATTTGGCCACCAAGCATACGTCTGGCGAATCACACTAGAGAGAGGACACAGGACCGTTCATCGGGGCCTGGCTCAGCTGCCTCCCACGGGAAGCAGGTGGGGCAACCCCATCTCGGCATCATGGAAGGTCCCAGTGCCCAGCCCCGCTCCCAGGTTGCATCCTGGGGCAGCCTCATTTTATTCAAGCCCTTCGAACCAGGTTGAGCCCTCTTTTTTGTAGAGAATTTGCTTTTCTCATATTGTATTTATTGTATCGTATTGTATGTGCTTTAATATAAGGAGAAGCTCCCTGAATCGTCCTCAAAAGGTCTTTGGTCAGGATCCACCAGGCTGTGATCAGGCTACTTGTCCCCAGCGTGGCCCAGCTTGGGTCCCAGAGAGCAGTGCTGTGTCTCTGAAAGGGTGGGCCCTGAGTCTGTGGATGCTCTGGAGGCCTTCCAGAAGGGGCCAGTGCAGTGGAGAGGGCACAGCACTGGCCAGTCAAGAGGCCAGTGGCGGGGTATGCCCTTCTGCCCACCCTGAGCTCTAAGGTGCAGAGAGCCTGGGAGATGCCAAGAGCCGCTCCTTGGGTCAGAAGAAGGAGGCGCTATTCAGTCCTGGTGAATGGAGGGAGGGTGACAGGTAGAGCGGCCACAGAGGAGAGCTCTCAGGATGGGACACCGTGGACCGTGGCATGTGTGTGGGCTCCCGGCACCCACTGGGCTCTCTGGGTGTGGCCACAGTATCCATCAGAGCTGGGGGGACCACTGAGAAGGGCCTTTTCCTTGGGAACTGAGGTAAAGAGGCGGACCCTCAGTCCTGGTGCAGAGGGCAGGCTAACCTCTTTCCTTCTACCCCTTCGCGGTTCGTGCTTGGGCCCAGGGGTGGGTGGGGGCGGGGGGATAAATGCAAACACACGGGTCTCCGAAGATCGGCTTCCAAGCAGTTCTCAGACGGGCACGAGAACCAGCCCCCTCTGCCTTTGGAAAGAGGCCTCTGAAAGCCACCCCCTGGGTTCTTTGGCCTGTGGCCACAAGCAGATCTGCTGTGCTCCAACTGCCAAGGGCTTTCTGAGGGACCCTCAGCGCTTCCACCTCCCCCATCTTCCAGCCTAGCAGCAACCCCCTGAGCGGTGCCCGGTCTGGGCTGGGCGGGGCGACAGAGGGGCCTCTTCAGCCCGTCCCTGGCTCACACGGTCCCTCCCATAGGGCTGCAGGCTCTTACCAGCACGGTGGTGACGATGAGGGACCTGTTCGTCAGAGAGTCGGTGACATTCGGGCCTCGGCCTTTGGCGACCTCCGTGATGTTGAGCCCCTCCGCAGGACTCCACACCCCAACCTGGATGGACAGACAGACGGAGAAAAGGGGCCGAGTCCTCAGACGGCCAACAAGGCCATCATCTCCTTCCCATTCTTGGTGAGCATCGTCGTCACGGCTGACAGGCTGTGAGCTAACTCTCGACAACCTTGCTGCCTCCCTTCTTCTTGGAGGAGGCGCCCAAGGTGTGGAGTCTCTTGAATTCCATCACCTCCCCCTTGCTGTCTGGAGGGGAAAATGCAGAGGGGAAGGGGAGTGTAAAAACAGCCCAGGGACCTCAGCCTGGGGTGGAACAGATACACTAAGAAATCAGGGGTCCTGGGTCAGGGCCAGTCCTACCCCAGGACAGAGCCACTCTGAGCCTGGTGGGCCTCCCTCCTCCTGGGGAAGACGCTGGGCACCCAGCTGCTCACTCACTGGGTCTCTGCCCTGGTGCCACTTCCCGGGGCCAGGACACCCTCCAAAGGCCGGAACAGGGTCTGGAGCAAGGGGGATGTTCACCCAACATTCGCGGACTGGGTTAATGGGTGATGAGATGTGTCCCATGCAGGAAGGCAGGCTGGGCAGGAGCTGGTCTTTGGCAGACCAAAGAGCGGAGGGCCCTCACTGCGGGCCTGGTTGCTGCTGGGTTTGAAGGCAGTTTGCTTTGTGGTTCTCCTTCTAAAGTTGGCGGATATCCTGGCCAAGGTGGCATAATCTGTCTCTCCACGGTGCCCTAGTTGCTATCAGGCCTGAGGCTGGAGGATGCCAGGGAAGATCAAGTTTACCAATCATTGCCTCGGGCCTCATGAAGGTCCCACTCTGCCCAGCTCCCCCGACTCCCCTTCAGGTCCCCTCCCTCAAGGAAGGTTTTGGCATGCCCATTCTGTCCTTGGCCTAGCTGGGGGGGCACTCGGGAAACTTAATCAATTAAACAGAGAGGCCAAATGCAAACATCCCATTAAGAGAGCTGTGCAAAGCAGATAGCAGACAGACATGTAATTATGCCTGGGTAATTCTGCCTTAATCCTCCTAGAGCCACCGGCTGGAGCTGGCTGGATCAGCTATGACCCGGCTTAGCAAACAGAAGTGATGATACAAGAGGCAGGGCGGCTGTGTGGGGGCTTAGCACCCTCTCCAGGCAGGATTTCTGTCTACGCAGACCCCCTAGAGCCACGAGAAGAGACAGGCAGACCGCCTCAAAGTGGGCCCAGCCCATGAGGGGTCCCTAGCAGTACACCCGGGTGCCCCATGCACATCTGTCCAGTGGTTCCTGAGCAGCTGGAACCCTCACCCCAGAAAGCACCTACTGACTTCCCACTGCATGCCTGGCTAGACCCCGGGAGTCCCGGGGAGGCGAGAACACTTAGGACGGAGGAGGACCCAGCCTCTACAGGCTGTCTGCCCACCACTCCCTGTGGCTGTGACCGGGAGCCTCTGGAGGAGGCAGGTCAACCTCTGTCCGGGTATATAGTAGGAGGGCTTTTCTTGGGTGTTAGCTATCGTCACTCTGTCCTTGGGAGAGGGATGCTGCGGTAGAAGGCTCAGATGGAAAGTGCTCTCATGATCCCATTACTCGCGTCTGCTGCGGGCACGGGAGCGGGTCGCACGGGCATACGTGGGTCTAACTGCCATCCTTAGAATTTTAGGCCATCTCCAGAGATGGACAGTTGAGAGAGCAGAAGGGAGATGCCACTTGAGCGAAAACCACTGCAGCAATACTGCTGGAGAAGGAAGGTCCACCCCCCACCCTCCCACCCCCAGGCACTGCCGGAGTTTAAACAGGAGCTGGCATACCGCCCGGCGAGACCTTGTGGTGCGAGTAGGTTGGACCAACCGGTCTCCCTGATCTTAGGAGCGGAGGCCACAGCGCCTGTCCCCAAGGGACTGACGCTGTATGCAGAGGAAAGGTGGCGTTTCCCTGGCCACCCCTGCACAGGAGCCCCCATTAGTCTGTGGGACACTCAGGAGTGGGCGGAGTAAACTTGGCCACAAGTTGCAACCCAGCCAGAGCCACGTCTGTGCCTGAAGGAGCGACCCCAGGAGACAGAGGCCACCTCCACAGCCAGGGCGATCACTGAGCCAAAGGAGGGGCCAGAGGGAGTGGGTGTGACTGCGCCACAGGGAATGTTCTGGGGCCAGTGGAGGCTGGGCGTGGAGAGGCAAGTTGGGTTGTTTCTCAGAGAGCCATAAAAGTCCAAGTCAGGGGCTGGAGCTTAACTCGGCACTGGCGGTGGAGGGGGCGGGGGGGACCATGCTGTGCTTTGGGAAGCTGTGTGTGTGTGTGTGTGTGTGTGTGTGTGTGTGTGTGTGTATACACACGGAGCATGGCTGCAGGCTCAGGGGTGGAGGTGGAGAGGCCAGGGCTGAGTGCTAAAACAATCCAAGGGAGGGAGGCCTGATCAATGCAGACAGGGGTGGAGAGGAGAGGAATCAAGCCATCCTGAAGTCTCAGAGGCATCCAAGCTGGCCCCTCCCCAACTTCCGGGTTTTTGTTCACCCTACTCCCAGGCTGGTGGGAGAGGGTGTGGCTGACCCCCTGGTCTTGAGGTCCCAGGAATTCGGAGAATTAGGGCTAATGTTGAATCTCCTCCCCAGGCCAGCAGCCTGACTGGACAGAATATGCAGAAGGCTCCCAGGGAGAATTGGCCTCATTTACAAACGTCTGATGGTAGCCAGATGGAGGCCCCAGAAGGGCTTGCTTTCTCATCAAAACCCCCTGAAATCATTGAGACCTTAGAAACCGAGAGTGAGATCAGAATTCATGTGCTTCAACTTCTCTCTAAGGATAAGAACCAACTGCATTTCCCAGACAAGCAATCATATTGCTTAATCTTTGCTTAAATGCCTCCAGTGACAGTGAGCTCACTACTCCCCAGGCAGCCACCCCCTGGTGGTTAGAGTTCTGTTATCCAAAGTCGGGTCTGTCTCTCTGCGCGCCGCAACCCCCCCTCCCCCCCCAGCCTTTCATGACTTTTCCCAGTTAAGCATCCCCGGTGGCCCTTGCTCACCGGGCGATAGCCTGGGTGTCTGCCACGGCCAGGCCACTGGGTTCTGTACCCTTCCAGTCTGACCAGGCCTCCATGTTCTCCGAAGGGCCAGGGCACAGGCCATGCCAGGTCATGTCGAGCCCCCAAGGTCTTGTCCCCTCCCTCTCCTGAGCCCACGCACCTTCTCCAGGCCGTCCTCCTTCAGGCTGATGATGTCCAGATCAAAATCCGTCCGTAAGCCACTGGTTTTGTTGAAAACAATCCGTCCAGTTAATCCTTCCCATTGAGCCTGCCGGAAGGGAGAGGGCAGAGCGGCAATTCCTCGGGCTCATAAATCATCATTCGGTACAACTGTACAATGCTTCATTTTAATTACTCTTTGCACTGATACTGTTCCCCCAAGACCATGATTAATTAATAATCACCTCCATCATTGCTCGGGCTGTGGTGCGAGCCAGCGATTTCCATAAATTCTATTATGCTCTTTAGCCAGCTTTACATTTGCACCTTCTCGTGTACAACATCGATCTCAGACGCACTCAAATGAGCCCCCGCCTTGAAGCCAAAGAGGAGGGGAAGCCCGTGTCAGGTCCCCAGAGAGGGGCAAGGAGGAGGCAGGCGGGCGGCTTGGGGCAGGTGACACCTACCCAGAGGCGGAAAAGCCAAGGGGCCGAGCCAGCCCTGGCGGTAAGACCAGACGCGTGGAGTAGAGCAGGAGGAGACCGAGAAGTCACCCCCACCGCCCCCGGTCCCAGCTCCACGAGGGTCAAGGTTAAGAACTCTGGGGTCAGAATGCCGGGTCCAACCGCAGTCAGCTGTGCAAATTTAGGAATTCTAGGTCACCTCTCTGCCTCAGTTTCCTCATCTACAAAACAGGATTCATAATTGTACCAAAACGCCATGGGGAGTGAATGGAGATAAAGCCCATAAAATACTTAGGACAGTGCGTGGTACCACCCGAGCCCTTGAGCTCATGGTCACTTTTGTGTATTGTCATTAACTTCGTTAACCAGAGAGAGATGCAGAGAACATGCAGGACCCAAGCTGAGAAAGTCCCACTCTTCTAGATCAGGGGCGAGCAAGCTACAGCTGGTGCCCCGATAGGCCTGCGGCCTGTTTTTGTAAACAGTTGATTAGAACACAGCCACACCCATGTGTTTACTTATTGTCTTTGGCCACTTTGGAGCCGCTGCCTCAGGCCTGGATAGTTACAAAGAGACCATCTGGCCCACAAAGCCCAAATATTTACTATCCAGCCCGTTGCAGGAAAGGTTTGCTGACTCCGTTCTAGAAAATACCTTTCCTGTGGACCCAATGCATCCCTGCAAAGTACTTCACACCGCTCAGAGCATGTAACCTCCACAGCAGCCCGGCAGGTGGGCCAGGTGAGGTCACGATTCCCATTTTACAGACCAGGAAGCAGGCCAGGAGGGCCAGGCGCATCACCCAAGCTCGCAGAGGGGGTCAGAGCTCCAAGCTGCAGCTGGGGTCCCAGGGCCCCACCCCTCAGGCTGGAGCCCCGTCCTTTCTCTCCCTTCTCCAAAGAGGTAGGAGGCAGCCAGCACACGCGTAAACGCCCCAATACCCACGGGCTTTCTGTGTCTGGGAGAACAAACCCATCCATCCTGGAGGCCCTGGGAACCAAGGGAGGCTGCAGGCTGGAGGTGGGCGAGGAAATCTGGAGCTCACACAGTCCACTGGGCTGGAGGAGGCTGGGGAAGGAGGCGCCAGAGAACATGGGGGCGGGGGAAGGTCTGATTATGGAAATGTTTGCTTTGCCAAGGTGGTTCCCAACCACACTGGGGTCATGACCCCCTGCAGGCTCTGAAAATGGCCCCAGGGCCTCTCCCTGGCTGATTGTCCCTGGCACACACACTGACACTCAGAACTGGACGCCCAAGTTCGTGGGACCATGGATCCCAGGAGTCCAAAATAAAACCCGTGGGCTCTCCAAGCATTTGGACAGCTCTAAGGCCCCAAGGTAAGTGTGCAGATGAGCCAGCCGGTGGACCGACTGAGGCAGAGGGGCGGGGCCTGGAAGGGGTACGGGAAGCTCTAAGACAAGTTGGACAGAATGCGGGCTTTGCACAAGTGATCCAACCTCTCTGAGCTTCAGCAAGGGGAAAATGATCTATTTCACAGGTGTTCAAAAAGATGTATAAAGTGCTTAGCACAGTGCCTGCCATCTACGATCCCAGCTAAGTGCTATTAAGGTATTATTTCTCCCTTGGATTACAGGGCTGGTGCTTAGCTGGGAAGAAGGCTGGGGGCTGGGGCCAGGGCCTGAGGCCTCAGTAGAAATCCTGTCATAGAGGGCTAACTAACCCCCTTTCCTGAATGTGCTTTGTCTCATCACAATCCTGCCAGGTGGGTGTCACTGTCGCCCCCATTTTAGGATCATAGACACAGAGGCTCAAAGAGGGGCTGAGCTATAGAAAGCTGCACGGGATGGTGCTGCAGGGCAGAATCCGGGTCTGCAGGAACAGAGTTGAAGAGCATGGGGTCACCATGCCCAAGTTCAGTGGGGGAGGCTTACAGAGCCTGGGGGGCTGGAAACGGGGTTGGGGACAGAGACGGAAATATCAGACAAGGTAAAGACCACTGTTTATAACTTCACAGGGAGGCTCAGCTCCCCTCGGGCTGGCTGGCTCCCCCCTCCTCTGCACCCTCAGGCTATCTCCTGGCCCCCAGGGGAAATCACAGCAGGTGCCTTCAACCTGCACTGGGAGCGGACAAAGCTTCCCCCTTGTCAGCTCTGGAGGAATTAAATGCCAGCAGGGGGGCACGGACTGTCTGTGGGCGGGTGGGCAGGGCCAGGGCAAGGAGCCACTGGCAGCTCCTCCCCGTGACATTTCCCGGCCTGCCCGCCCCTTCCAGCCACCGCTCAAGACTCGCTAAATGAAAGATGCTTCACACGCTCTGAACTCCGGCCTGGTATTTTCCAGCTCCTCTCGGAAATGCCAAGTCTTTAAAATGATTTACTGTCACGCAGTCAGAGAAGGAGACGGGCAACTTGGAAATGGTCTGAGGGAAGACTTGTGCTGGGCTCAGGCAGGGCACTGGGGTCCCGGTCCCGGGCAGAGGTGGCACTGTGGGCCAGCCACGCGGCTGCTCGGGGCCTCCGTCTCCACCGCCCTCAAATGCAGGTGGCACAAACGTGTTTCTGAAAGGGCTCCGTAAGAGTGTGAGTGGTGAGGGCCACTCACTGGGCCAGTGGCCAGGAAACAGGAGGTACACTGGTGTGGGCCAGTCAGCCCCAGGAGGGAGAAGGGGCCCCTTTCTACGGGGCGGGCGGTGACGAATCTGCTCCCTGTAGGGTTTTGTCACTGAGCCTCAAAAATTCCAACGGGTGAGGGGTAGACAGGGTGGGGGTCCCCGAAGCTATGTGGCCCAGAGATCCTCGTGAGCTGGAAACCCAGCATGGAGAAGAAGTCATAGTCATGGCAGTTGTGACGACAGTAACTGCAGCCAATCTGTTCAGCATCTGCTCTGTGCCATGCTCTGTCCCGAGTGCTTCACCCACACCATCACCCACCTCATCCTGCAACAACCCTAGGAAAATCTCCAGGGTACAGAGACAGAGCTGAGGCACAGAGACATTCAGTAGCTTGTCTAAGGTCACACAGCTAAAAAGTGGTTAAGCTTCAAAGCCACTTTTGCTTGGCTCGTAAGGGTCCCAGGGTCGTGGCTCGGGTCACCGACCCCCTCACGCTGGCCTCTGACCGCTCCGTCGGAGGCCTGCCGAGGAAGGAGGCACAGGCGGCTGAGAGTCGGGTCTCAGAGTTCCCCGAGAACAAGCCGGTGATCGCTCAGGCCAAGCAGGCCTGCTCAGGGCATTGGACAATCAGACTTCCTCTGCAGTTTTGAGTTGGATGAGAAGGGACCATCATGGTCTTCTTATACCAAAATATCCGACACTGGATGGAGCCCCTTCGAGGCGTGAGGGAGGTGGTCCCAAGGACTTCGTGCCACCCTCACCATGATGGTCACCAGATGGTGACATCTGCCAGGAGAGGAAATGGACACTTGGGGACATCTAGGACCATGCGTGAAGCCACACAGCTGGGAGAGGCAGAGACAACTCCACAGGCACGTACGTCAAACTACAGCCCGTGTCCCATCCCCATTCCTTTTAGCGCTGTTCCCAAGTGGTGGTAGTGACCTCGGGACTTGGGGGAAGGCTAACTGTCCACTGAGAATAAGGTGGTGGGTCTGTTACTGGCCCTCTTGGAGCTGCCTTCCTTTGCACGTGGGATTACATTCCTGAATGCAAGGGCTTGCTTCGTGTCTGCCCCCTCCCTAGGCTGGGAGTTCTGGGAATGCGGGGGCTCGTCTGTCTCAGCCCCACTGGATCCCAGTGCAGGGTTCTGCGCCTGGCACCCAGCGGGCCCACCACAATCAGCTGCTGAATAAATGAATGAGCGCTCAAGGCAGCCTGCCTCATTTCTGGTCCACTGTGATTGCTACAAAGAGATCGTCTACACAGCCCTCCTGGAGGGCTTCCCCCGCCGCACTCCGTGCCGCCTGGACGTGGTCACTCCCTCTGACCCAGGGTAACCCTGCCCGGATCTCGTCCCCAAGCGGTCTTCCTCCACCAGTCACTGGGATTTGCCTCTGCCCACGTCCTGGGCTAGACGCTTTGCGTCCAGTTTCACACGGTCTTCTAAACAACACGGAGGTAAGGACTCTTAATGCCCATTTTACAGTCCAGGAAACTGAGAATCAGAACGTTAATCCTCTCACCCGAAGGCACACAGCTAATCGTGATGCAGCCAGGACGCCTGGCCCCGGCCTTAGCTTCCCCCGCCTGTAAAGTGGGAACGGTAAACTGCCACCCACAGCTTACAAGGACAGTGGTGACGGAGAGTCCTTCGAAATTATCCGTTGGCACTAAGTGTTTCAACGGTCATCTGAATAGCAGGATGGATTTCTGCTCTCTGGTTCCTCTGAATCAGCCCCACGGATGGGACTTCTTCACAGCCGCTGTGATGCCAGGAGAGCCGAGTCCCAGGGGGCCCACGACACGAAGAGGAGTTTGGAGGGCTGATTATGATCTACCCAGCCTCCTCTGCCCTGGCACCGCCCTGAGCCCTTTCCACACGGGGTCTCATCTCCGCTTCACAACATCCCTGTGACGGGGCATGCTTCGTACCCCATTTTGCAGATGAGCCAATCAAGGCTCAGCAAGGTTCTCTAGCTTGCCCAAGGTCACACAGCCCGAGGCACAGACCCTCATGTCTTGCATCAGAAAGCCCACGCAGGTCCTGCTGGCCGTGCTGCCCGCCCACGGAGAACCTCCTACACGCCAGGGCCTTTGCCTCTCAATCCCCCTGTAAGAACGAGCCCATCAGGCCCAATTTCCCCCCAAGGAAACTGAGGCTCAGAGAGGAGAAGCACTGAGGCCGGGTTTGTGCGGACTGGAAACGGGTTCTGCCTGACTCCCACACCCGGGCCTTCGCTCTGCAGCTCTGCTGACCCCATGCTGATCCCCAGGGGCAGTGGGGGGAGGCCCTGGCTGGGGGAGGTGCAGGGGAACACTCACCTCCTTGATGAAGTTCATGAAGCGGCCGCCAAAGCGCCAGGCCTTGTGCCGATGGCACTGCAGGGAGTTCACGGTCATCTGGGGTGCCCGCTGGTAGCACACAGACACGATGTGGACGGCATCATACAGTAAGGCCGCGTCAGTCTGCAGGGGAGGGCCCGGGGCCTGCCTGAGAGCAGATCCCAAGCCCCGAGAGTCCTCGGCCCAATCTGCTCTGTCCCTTTTCCCCTCCCTCGCCAGACACGAGGGGTCCGGGTGAGGGAAAGGCCCACGGTGACCCCGTCCACGCCCCCAGCGAAGGCCAGATTGGGGTGTCCCTGCTGTTCCACAGACACTCAACTTCCACCCTCTGCAGATCAGACCTTCTCCCTCTAGGCCCTCTCACCCCATCCCACCGCTCCTGCTGCTCCCCTAGGCCCTGCCCACACCTTCTCCCTTCCCGCTCCCCCGCCTTCGGCTGGTCACAGCCGAGGGTCCTCATCCCCGCGCTCCGAAACAATCCGTTTACAAGCCTCCGCTACCACCTTTGGTGTGGGACTGTGTCTGATTCCTTTGTGTTCCCAGAACCTAGTCTAAGGTCTGAGGAAGGGAAGTGGTGGGAGGGGAGAAGAGATAGGGAGGATGGAGGGAAGGGAAGAAGGATGGGAGGAAGGAAGAAAAGATAGAAGAGGGAAAGGAGAGAGAAGGACAGGGAAAGGGGAGACCCCGGATCTGACCCGCCTGGCTGGAATACCATCATCACTCCGTCCAACAGGCCGGACTCTGCCCGGGGAGCCGCCTGCAGCCTCTCCATGGACCACTTCTCCACGATGGCCGAGACATGGGGGTTGTCCACGTTGAGGATCCGGAACCCCGTCAGGTTCACCCCTGAGTAGCGGTAGGGCTCCAGGTCTAACGCATATAGATCCTTGACGGAGAGAGGTTCGAGTAAATAACGGTGTGGCTGCTGTAAGCTCCACCCCC